TCAGCCTCCTGAGTAGCTGGGATTACAGGCACGCACCACCATGCCCAGCTAATTTTGTGTAGTTTTAGTAGAGATGGGGTTTCACCATTTTGACCAGGATGGTCTCGATCTCTTGACCTTGTGATCCACCCGCCTCGGCCTCCCAAAGTGCTGGGATTACAGGCGTGAGCCACCGTGCCCGGCCTGCTCTTTTCTCATCTTAATGCGTTTAATGCTCATGAGCTCTGTCCAGCACGCATGATTATTGTGACCGTGTTCAGACTGAGAAACTGAGGTTGAGCTAGGCTAGTGAGTTCCCCAGGGCTCAGATCTAGTAAGAGGTGGAGGTGAGGGCACAGGTGCGCTGGCTCCAGAGTCCCTGTTCTTAGTCCCTCAGCTGTCTTCACTCTGGTACATGCATTACTACTCAGTTCATATGAATAACAGCAGCCTAGAGCCATTACTTCCTTTTTCCCGCCATGTTATGATGAAAATATTAAAATGTCCAAAGTTGAAATTCTTGTACAGAGTCAAAGTTGAAGGCTCAGATGCCAATCATCTACACTTTTCTTTCTTCCCTCCCTTCCTCCCTCCCCCTCCTTCCTTCCTTCCTTCTTTTCTTTTCTTTCTTTCTTTCCTCTTTCCTTCCTTCCCTTCTTTCCTTCCTTCCTCCCTCCCTCCCTCCTTCTCTCTCTCCTTCCTTCCTTCCTTCCTTCTTTCTTTCGACAGAGTCTCGCTCTGTCATCCAGGATAAAGTGCAGTGGCATGATCAGGTTCAAGCGATTCTCCTGCCTCAGCCTCCCGAGTAGCTGGGATGACAGGCATGCACCACCACGCCCAGCTAATTTTTGTATTTTTGTAGAGACAGGGTTTCACCATCTTGGCCAGGCTGGTCCTGAACTCCACCCAGGCTGGAGTGCCATGGCGTGGTCTCGGCTCACTGCAACCTTGGCCTCCTGGGTTCAAGTGATTCTCCCGCCTCAGCCCTCCGGAGTAACTGGGACTACAGGTGCTTGCCACCATGCCTGGCTAATTTTTGTATTTTTAGTAGAAATGGGGTTTCACCATGTTGGCCAGGCTGGTCTCGAACTCCTGACCTCATGATCTGCCTGCCTTGACCTCCCAAAGTGCTGGGATTACAGGCATGAGCCACTGCGCCCAGCCTTACTTTTTATTTTTTTGTCAGAGGTCAGTGACTTGACAAAGGTGTAGAGCTACTAGCAGAATCACGGTAGGATACTCACAAGACATTGTTAGGAGAGGAATTAATGAAATAGCGACTTCAGCATGGTCTTTTTTTTTAAGTGTAAATATATCTAAACGTAGGAAAAAACGCGATAGGATCTATACATTTGTATGTGTGTGCCTACAGGGTGATTTTCCTTTTCTCATTTTTGCTCATGTGCATTTTCTGTTTTCTGTAATGAACGAATATTATTTGTGTCATTTAAAAATGGTAGCTCATGCCTGTGATCCTAGCACTTTGGGAGGCGGAGGCAGGAGGATTATTTGAGCCCAGAAATTTGAGGCCAGCCTGAGCAACATAGGGAGACCCCATCTCTACAAAAAAATAGCTGGGTGTGGTGGCGCATGCCTATGGTCCCTGCTTCCTGGGAGGCTGAGGCAGGAAGATGGCTTGAGCCTAGGAGGTCGAGGCTGCAGTCGGCTATGATGCTGCTACCACACTCCAGGTTGGGCGACAGAGGAAAACTGTCTTAAAAAAAATACATACTGGCCGGGCGCGGTGGCTCACGCCTGTAATCCCAGCACTTTGGGAGGCCGAGGCGGGTGGATCACGAGGTCAAGAGATCGAGACCATCCTGGTCAACATGGTGAAACCCCGTCTCTA